ACAGGGACAGGGATGGGACAGGGACAGGGATGGGACAGGGACAGGGACAGGGATGGGGACAGGGGCAGGGACGGGTGAGACAGGGACAGAATCAGAGGCAAGGAAAGGAATGGGGACAGGGACAGGGTCAGGATCAGTGGCAAGGGCAAGGAAAGGGATGGGGAGGGGGACAGGGTGGGAGGCAGGGACATGATCAGAGTCAGGATTAGGGTCAGGGATGGAGACAGGGAGGGAGACAAGGACAGAGTCAGGATCAAGGACAGGGACAAGGTGGGGATGAGGGACAGGGACACAACCAGGGTCATGGACAGGGACACAACCAGGGTCATGGTCAGGGATGGGGACAGGGGCAGGTTCAGGATTGGGGCAGGATCAGGGTCAAGTTTAGGAGCAGGGACACAGTGAGGACAGGGACAGGGTCACCACGGAGCAGGGGCGGGACAAGGACCCACCTGGAGCTGGAAGCAGCCGAGCATGAGGAGGAAGACGAGGGTGAGGCAGGCGAGGCAGACGGGCAGGCTGACCAGGCACTGGAAGAGCAGCCGCTTCCAGGGTGGGTAATAAAACTCCTCAGCGCTGGTCACGGGGCTGATCCTCTTAATGCCCTAATTGTGTGTGGGGGGGGACAACGAGCTGTGACCCCCCTTCCCTCTGGGACCCCAGTGCTGGTGGGAGCCCTGGGAACCCCCTTCCCTCCCCTTCCCCTCACCCTGAACTGGGGCCGGGGCTCCTCGATGGACTCGGGGGGGGTGTCCAGGGTCCCCCACTTGTAGGCGAACTCGGCCCCCCGGCGCTTCCACTCCTCCAGGAACAGGGTGGCCCAGATGACGTTGAAGATGGCAAAGACCACGCAGGAGATGTCCTGGCTGGTCTGAGGGACGGAGGGAACCAACTGCACCGGGGTTGGTCCCCTCCAGTCCCCGGCACCCCCTCCCCCAGCCCAGCCCTGGGGAGCTGCAGGGTGCTCCCCCCGCCCACCCCACACCCGTGGGCTTGGCAGCCCCCCCAGCTCAGCAGCAACGCCAGGACTGAAGGACTACGGGGAAAATCTGGAGTGAGGAGGGATGGAAACCCACAAGGAGAGATGGAAACCCATAAGGAGGGGTGGAAACCCACAACGAGAGATGGAAACCCACATGGAGGGAGGGAAACCCACAAGGAGGGATGGAAACCCATAAGGAGGGGTGGAAACCCATAAGGAGAGATGGAAACTCACGAGAGATGGAAACCCACAAGGAGGGGCTCAAAACCCCCGAGGAAGGGTGAAAACCCTGCCATGACCCCCCCAGGCACCGAGCCCATCTCCTGCCCCCCCTCACCTGGTCACTCTCGGTGAAGGTGTAGAGGATGGAGCCGAAGACAGCGGGATACACCATGGCCGAGGTGTAGAAGCCCAGCCAGGCGAAGTACATGGCGATTTTCACCCCAAAATAGTCACAGATGTCATCTGGGGGGGACGGTGGGGGGAGACAAGGGGGGTGTGAGCGGGGCTGGGACCCCCAGACCCCTCTTTTGTGACCCCCCTGATGTCTCACCGAGGGGCTGGGCCTCGCACACCGCCTGCACCCAGGACTTCATCAGCCGCTTGAGGATCCTCTGCTCGTGCAGCGGGAAAACCTGCTGGATGACCCCCCGGGCCGCCAGCTCCGGGACTGCAGCGGGGACACGGAGTCGGGGACAGCAGGGACACTGCCAGTCCCACCCCCTAAACCCCCCCCGGGACCCCACACAGCCCTGGTGGCGTTGGGGTTGGGGCAGGGACAATGGGGTGACCGTGGCGGGTCAGGGCTCTGTGCCCACCGTGTGCCCCCCACCCTGCTGGCACACGGGCACGGGGAGGGGGACACGGGGTGACAGGGGACCCTTGGTGGGCTGGTGGCCCCTGGGGCCTCCAGGGCACAGCCCTGTGGGCAGGGGGAGCATGGCAGTGGGGGGGGTGCTGCTGTGCTATGCCGGTGCCAAGCAGTGCCATGGAAGTGCCATGGAAGTGTCGTGGAGCTGCCCTGTGGTGCCCTGGAAGTGCCATGGAGGTGCCCTGTGGTGCCCTGTGGTACTCACTGATGGGCTGTCCCTCGAGGAAGTGGATGTTGTGCAGGGCCTCTCCCTGCTTGGCCCGTAGGTTCTCCAGCCAGTACCTGATGATGTTTTGCCGTTCCTGTGGCACCACGGAGGCTTCAGATCCCAGGGATGGTCCCGATCCCTGTCCCTGTCCTGTCCCCTCCCTGTCCTGCCTTGTCCCCAGCTCAGGGGGTGGCTGGGTCAGTCTCCAGCTGGGATGGGGCTCCCTAATTCCCTGGGGAGGGGGAGAGGACCTGCCTTCCCTGCCCTATGTCCCTGCATCCCTGCGTTCCTACATCCCCAAATCCCTGCATTCCTACATCCCCAAATCTCTGCATCTCTACATTCCTACATTCCCATATCCCTGCATCCCTTCGTTCCTACATCCCCAAATCCCTGACCCTGCATTCCTACATCCCCAAATCCCTGCATTCCTATATCCTCAAATCCCTGCATTCCTACATCCCCAAATCCCTGCATCCCTGCGTTCCTACATCCCCAAATCCCTGCATCTGTGCATTCCTACATCCCCATATCCCTGCATCCCTACCCGGCATCCCCATATCCCTGCATCCCTGCCCGGCATCCCCACATCCCTGTACCCCTGTATCCTTGCCCATCACCCCTGCATCCCTGCTCAACATCCCCCAGACCCCTGTATCCCCACCTCCTTGCCCCACATCCCTGTATCCCTGCCAAGAATCCCCGTATCCCCACACCCCTGCATTCCCATATCCCCGCCCGGCACCCCCCGTATCCCTCCCCGTGCCCCCCCCGTCCCCGCGCCGTCCCACCTGAGAGGTGAAGAAGTAGAGCTCGTTCTCGATGTTCTCGTAGATGTAATCCTCCTCGCACGAGAAGCTCCTCATCCCGCCCCCAAACTCCGCCTTCACCGGCTTCCGCAGCCCGATCTCGTCCGCCCCCCGCAGCAAACTGGGGACAGGGACACGGCTGGGACACGGCTGGGACACGGCCGAGGGGACACGGCCGAGGGGACATGGCTGGGGACATGACCCAGGGGGCATGGCTGGGGGGACGTAGCTGAGGGGACAGGGATGGGGGGA